GGTCGGGAGCTGCGATCTCTGCGCTCCATTCTCATGAATTGGACGACATCGAGTTCCTCGGAAGTGAGGGATGAAGAGTCGAATGAATCGAAAGATGCGTCGGGGTCAGGTGAGGTGAACCCGTCTGAGGAAATGATGGAGGTGGTGTCTTCGGGGGTGATGTGGTGAAAAAAGCGGGTGCGGGAGGTGCCGGGGGGGGCCTGGTGGTGGGGGTGGAGGAGTCGATCGTGGTGGAGCATGCGAGATAGGAGGTGAGCAAGGGGCATGTCGGGTTCGTGGGCGAGGGCGGTTGCAAGGTCTTTGTGGCATACTCGTTTGATGCGGGAGATGAATGCACAGTCGAGAATGACGGTGTGGGGGAGGTGGTGTCGGAGGGAGCGGACGTATTGGACGAAGCGATCCGTGGGACCGGTCTGGCGGAGGTGGCAAAATTGTTCAAGGTAGTCGTCAATGGTTTTCTGGGGGCGGAAGGTGGCAGTGAGGAGGKTGGCCCATTGGAGGAAGGTGTGGCGTGGTCCTCCGGAGGGCGGCGGTTGCTAACTTCAGCCATCCACCATTTGGCTGCATTGCCGAGGAGGCGGGAGGTGGCAATGGGGAGCCAGTGGGCAAGGGGCATGCGGTGGAGCTGAAAAGAGTTCTGAAGTTGGGTTAGGAAGAGGAAAACGTCCTCGTGGGGGAGGCCGGAGAAGGAGATGATTTCGCTAGACCGGAAGGAACGGGGGATTTCCCCATCGCGGTGAACGATCTGCGCGAGGGTGTTGAAAAGCTGAGGTTATCGGGGGTGGTGTCGTAGCAGGTGTGGTCGATTTGGTTGTTGTCCTCAAGGAGGTAGTTGGGGGGAGGTTGTGGCATTGCAGGGAAAACCCCGGAGGTGACTTGGGAATAGGTGGGACGGATGGTGGGGATGGTGGAGGTGGTCATGATGGGTTGGGAGAGGGTTTGGGAGTGCGGGGGGGGAAGAGGGGTGACTTTGATGGGCGAGGAATGAGGCGGTGTGCTGGATGCGTCGGATGAGGGAGGAGGTGGAGGGAATTGGGAGAGGGTTTGGGAGTGCGGGGGGGGAAGAGGGGTGACTTTGATGGGCGAGGAATGAGGCGGTGTGCTGGATGCACCGGATGAGGGAGGAGGTGGAGGGAACGAAACGATGGTGGGGATTGAAGGGTTGGTGGATATGGCGGTAGAGATGGTAGGAGTGGAGGAGGTCGGCGGGGGGGTGTTGCTGGAGGCGGCCGTGGAGGAGGGAGTGGTTTGCGCTGTGGAGGTTGGAGTGGTTTGGACTGTGGAGGTTGGAGTGGTTTGCACTGTGGGGGTTGGAGTGGTTTGCGCGGTGGTGACGACCGTGATGGAGGGGATGGTCCCTTCGATCGTGGTGACGCGGTAGCATAAGGACGACGCGTTGGCCTTTATGTCGTCGAGAGAGGTGGTGACGGAGGTTTGGAAGGTGTTGAGTGCGTGGAGGATGGCAGAGAGGTCGGGGGTGGCGGTGTTTGCTGGTGGTTATTCGCCTGCGAGGTTGCGGGCAATGCTATCGACTGAGTCGGTGCGGATGTCAGACATGTTGATGGAGGATGCGGCCATGTCGGGGGAAGAGGCGGTGGAGGACGTGGCTTGAACGGGAGTGGAAGATGCAGCAGCAGCGGTGGCGGTGGTGGCAGCACGTTGGGAGTTCTTGGTTTGGCGTGGTGGCATGTGGAGGGTGGGGGGGGGATCCCTTTTTTTTTCTTTTTTTTTTTTTGACACAATAAATAAAAAAATAAAGATAATCACCAAGATTTTTCACAAAAATAAAAATAAACAAATAAATAAATAAAATAAAATAAACGCTGAACAGAAAGAGATAATTAATTTTGAAAAAATAAATTCTGATTTGGATTTAAATTTATTTACAAGAAAACGTGAAATTTCGAAAGAAAATATTTTCAAATTATGGAGAAAAAGAATTAATTAGAATTATTTTTGAATTTTCAAAACAAATATCGAAAAAGAATTAATAAGTACTTACACAAATGTTGATTTATTTGTTTACAAAAAATATTTTAAATTCAAATTTCGAAAAATAGTTAATTTCCGTTAATTCATTAATTTCCGAATTTAAATTTTTAAAAAATTGGGGGTATATAAAAGATTCCAAAAATATTTCAAAAGTAAAATTCCGTATTTGGATTTTTGAAGAAGGAATAAAATTGAAGATTTTCGAAAATTGGCAAAAATGGAAATTGTAGGGAGTTTAGGATTTTTGGAAAAAGATTTTTGGAAAAGGATTATTATTATTTTTTTTGTCTATTTTCAAGATTTTATTCGAATACGAAACTATTTCGAAGAATGATTGGAAATTGTAGGAAAGAAATAAAATTTCGAAGTTCAAAAATTTAAAAGGAATAAAGAATAATAAGGATTTCAAAAAGTAATTTCTGATTAATTCCACGGTGCAAAAAGGTCTTAAGGAAATTTCGGATTTCGAAAGTGATTTCGAATTCAA